ATGACAGAGGATTTAGGCAATGCCAGTAAGAGTGGTCCAGGTAAGGGACACTGAGGGCAAAGTTCTGAGAACACTGTATGATTGAGCAGCTCAAGTCTGGAGTCCCAGGACTTGAGCTGCCAGCAGTCTAAATACTACAAGGAAATGGACCATGAGGCATCTGCATGTAACAAGGTAACTATGCCATTGGTTGAGCAATGACAACACACATCTTAAGCATGTAAAGAGGTAACAATGATAGTGGTGGAAATAGAGAGCCATCAGATCAGAGAGAATATGGCTCAAAAAGGAAAAGAAGTTCATCAGAATGAAACATGAGGTAAATGTACAGTGAAACAAGAGAGCACAGGGGTGAAATGTAACATTACCCCCTTCCTAGGCATTGAAGTCCCCAACTTCAACTACTCTCCATAAGGTTCTCTGGTCATATTGCTAATGGCAGAATTGTTGAAGTCAAAGTCATTATCATACAAGTCATTATCCTTGCTCCCAATGAGGGTACAATCATCTACCAGTGCAGGGGTAGAGATTCTGTCCTGTAAAGGCCAATGAGGATGTATAGACAGGCATTGAGCCTGTGTGTGCCTGGGGTGAGTGGTATGACAGAGAGGACATTCATAAAGGCCACAATTGACCCTAACATGTCCCAGGCAGCAGCAGACATAGCACACTTGATGATAGCATGGGTTGGATGGGGTGAGAGGACAATTTGCCTCAGTAAGTGCATTCAGCACAGGAGACAGTGGCAGCTGGGTGAGGGTCTCAACCTGATTCATGGTATAAGCAAGTTCTGCTTCAGACATGCTGAAGGCAACCTCAGGGTAAACTACAGATGGCAATGACAAGCCATGAGACTTGCAAGGTTGGGGGTTAGAGCCTGATAGACAACAGGCACAAGGTCTGTCTGCTCTTCAAAGGGAGCCAGACAAGCAGGAGGATGATGGCAATGATGCTGGAGGGGAGGATGACATGGAAGAAACCAGGGGAGACATAGCAGTTGAGGGTCTTTGAGACCCATGGGGAAGGGGAGTGATCAATGTGGGGTATTGATGAACATTGTAAATGAGGTCAGCACCTCCAAGGATGTCAAAAAGTCTTAGGAGCAGGGGAACCTGCTCATATGCAATTTCATTCAAGATGGTTCTTGTGGGAGATAGAAGAGGATTCTGTCAGTTCATGTAGCAGGACAGTTCCTCAAGCCAGAGGGCCTGGATAGTGGCATGATAAATGATGTCAAGAGGAGAGTTCTCATCAACCTCATGGTAGACAGTACTGATGATGGCAGGGTCAGCAATGAAGAGTTGGTAAGATCTGATCTCTGGTCACTAGTGGGTTGCTGCTGGTGATGGGCAAAGGGGGTATGGTGACAAGAGGGTTCACAGGGGTAAGTGTAGCAATGAGGGGGCATGCTGATAGCAATAGTTCTGATGGTGCAAGAGGAACATTGAGTGGGTTGTTTCTGGGGAGGGAAGTCTTTGGGGAAGCATTTTTTATATGCAAAGAGCATATCATCTGCATGTTCCAGGTCTGCCTCCTTCTGCCATGAGTTCTTGGAAGAAGGGTAACCCTTCCATTTGATTAAAAAGGCATGCCCACAGCTGGTGTCACACACCAAAGGTGTTTGGTGAGGTGGACATGGATGCAGCTGATGAATGGAGATGAAGACCATAGCCCTCATGTGAAGGACAGCCAGAAATGTCATCATCCCTCACACAAGAATGAGTTGTCAATGCCAAAGAAAAAGGAAGGAAGCAAGTTAAGTGCCAATAAAAATTCTTAAGTGCCTGTGTATGGCATTCCAGTTTAGTCTGTCCTATGCTGTTTGACTCACTTCCTCCATCATTGCATCACCTCTCAACACTCCCCTTGGCCATTGTGATGAAGGACCAACACCTGTGACAGGTCCCTGGTCACCTGTACCCACTCCCTTGTGCTTTTCAGGTCTGCTCTACCAGTTATGTAAGTGCCTTTCTGTCAATCTTACTCTCTACTTGTTTGCTTCCCTTTGGATCACTTTTGCTCACTTTACACTAATCTTTCCTTTGATTGCCAATGCTAGACTGGCCTCATGGCCATCATTATGTCAATCTCAATTAATTCCCATCATTTCTTGTTGCTCCTTTAACTTTCAATGTCACTTATTTCATAGTTGCATACTTCACATGTAGCTACTCATATATCTGTCATCATTGACAGGAAAAATAATGATTTTGAAGCCCCCAAATTGGAGACAGAGAAAGAGAGCAAAAATAATGATGTCAATACAACCCCTTCCCTATCCCCTGCCTAGTGCTGAGTAGCAGGCCTAATTGTGACAATTTCTACCCTAGCATGACACTCACTTAATAATCTGTCATTCTTTTCATTTACAGGTTGACCAACTCACTCAACTCCATTGAGTACATTCCCTGCTGCCTTCCTACAGCTAGATCAACTCCCCTTGGGTCAAACTGACCCCCTCAGATCACCTATCCCTAGGCTGGAGCCCACACCCCCATACTAGGTAGCAGATACCTGCTCTCCACAACACTATCATTTTTGCTGCACCTGTGTTGAAGCCAGGACTTTCCTCCTTGAATGGCTTGCAACCTCCCACAATACTGCTGATGTCCTCTCCAAGGCTTTGCTGTGTCCTTCCTTCTCTCACCACATTGCTGGCCATTCACTCATGCCCCATTGAGGGGGTGCTGCATCAGGTTTTTCAATGGTCACTCTGTTCATTCTGGTGGTCTTCTTTCTTTCTCTTTTCTTCTCTCATTTTCTTTGCATGGGAAGGAACTCATAGGCATAGGTCCCAGAAGTCATACATACAAGTCTCACTTTTACTTAGAAAGCTTATGTCTGTTTGTGTTTTTCTTTGCTGTTTTTCCTCTTCATCTACACATGTCCCACTGAGGGGGCATGTTGGCATCAATGGTCATGTGGCTGTGCATGATTGTGTTGCTTTGCACCTCAGCCATTGTGTCTACAGCACTGAGCATGTCTGATCAGTTCTCTACAGGGGAGAGCTGCATTTCTGATGTAGCTAGTGTATAAATAAGTGAAGTGAGCAGCACCTCTTGCCTCCACTCACTTTGCTGCCTGCAGCAGGGGTAGCTCCCTATCTAAATGGAATCTTCATCAGCTGCACACCTCATTCCTAAGATATTTCATGTCCAGACTATTGGCCCACAATACCAGTCTTAGTCTGACCCTGAAATGATGCCACATTCATACTAAGTCTACATTACCAGACAGCTGAGAAAGACAGTTGTAGTTACCTTCCATAGACAAATCCTTATCTAGAACCCCAATCATCTTATCAGTTCTGTGGAACAACTTCAGAGAAATCAGTCATGAACTTCCTTGAAAACTACCTCTCAACTCGTGTCATCTTCAGAGGGGTCATCATCAAGTCTTTTCCTAACTACCTTAAACAGGTCACGAAAACTGAAGCGTATGAAATGGTCGCCCTATGTGAGGATAAGGAACCCATCCTCAGGTGATCACTGCAGAAACAACCACAATCTCCAGATGTGTCTAGGATCCGGTACTTGATTCCTCTGTCTATACGAAAAACATATTTTGTGATTAAAATAGAGCACACATGGCAGACAGAGAAATCCATACATACGGAAGTAAATATGACATACTATTCCATGGGAACTGCACGAATACGCCCGGCAGTGGCCATCTTCGTTGCAAGGGGTCCAACAACTTTGTCATATAACTCCAAGTCGCTCGCAGGAAGATTTTTGATAGCGACGTGGTTCGTTACAAGCTTGCGCAGCGCTCGTATGACCCACCACGCACACGACCAGACCTTGCCTTGTGGCAGGAGATATGCCCCTTGCTCCGCAGGCTCGTACTCGAGCAAGGCGAACACAAAATCCGTTACAAGCCTCAAGGATCCGAGATCAACAACTCCATAATACCGGGTACTTTTCTGTAGTTCGGCACCACTGTAGTCGTCGACGATTTTGTGGAAGAGCTGATAGTCGCTACTATTGGGCACATGCACGATCTGGTAGATGTTCACTTTGCCAACGAGCGTGTTTTGTCCTGGCTGGCTGACTACCAGCGCCCAGTGACGGCCTTCGCCTTCACGAATAGGAGAATAGAGTGCAATACCGAACCGCAAGATAGCGCTCATTGCAATTCTGAGGGATGTGAGCAGCGATCTCGTGGTATCTAGGAAAATACGAACGGCTATGAATTGGCGTATCTGTAGGACAAACGAATGGGGGGCTTTAAGGGAGAAACGAGATGCTCGCCCAAGCATATCCAAGGATGCACCTTGATCTTTATCTGTGCAGCAAACTGACGGGGGATTCTGTTTGGGATTGGTTGCATGCTTTTGGATCAGACCACTGCCTCTGTCGCACACAGTCTCGGCCAACTCGCCCTAAATGGTAGGAGCATGCGCAACGCTGGCGCGTATGGGCAGTAAACAGTTGGCGAGTCCATTACAGGGTTTCAAGAGGGTTATTTGTGGTATGCCTAGGCCCCACCATTGCCTGATATGTTGGCTCCCAATACTGATGCATGTTGCCGTGAAAGGACACGTGGCGCCAGCAAATACGAGACTACGGTGACGTCCGTATTTGAAAAAAAAAGACGATAGTAGCCACCTGAGGCCCCAAAGGGGATGCTCAAGATGGAATCGATGGGCAAAGAGCAACGGCAACGGACTGGGCTCCAACCCGGAGGTTAAAGAATATAAACTCGCTGGACAATTGGTAATACTCGACTACACACCCGGATGCAATGGAAATACAGTTCGTTGACTCAGTGTCCTCGCTTTTCATAACGTGTACAACCGTGTGAGAAAGGCTCAACCGCTGCTAGCCGCAGCTTCATCGCTTGGAGCCGGCAGATCTAACACGATGTCAGGGTCACCGATACCTTCAGCTGTTGTAGGGAGTGCATGGGGGCTGCGATCCGTAGTAACTACTGCTTCATCATCTGGACCACTATAGCACAGCAGTTGAGAACACCGGTGAGAGGACAGCGCAAGCAGCTTACCCGATGATCCATCTCAGAATATCGTGACCCCAATCTTCACCACTACCCGAACTCAGAGCCAAGACGGGACTCAGATGGTCATGACCTTCAAGAACGAATTCCTCGATAATGCCTCCTCTTTTCTTGAATTCCCGAGCAAATGTCCGCATCGAAGCCGATATCGCACGCGGTTCGCTTTCTGCCATAATATTCCGGATCGGAGGGAGAGAAAGAATGTGCGAGTCATTTGCCTGACGAAGCAAGCTCAGCGGATGATTGGCCACAACCTTTTTAGCATTTCCGTAATACGATTGTGCGACAGCGTAGAACCGAGGGCGAGACGGCGAGATTTCGCAAGGAACACCCATCAATATGACACCACATACGCAACCGAGTGCGGAAGAAGATAGGAACAGAGAGGGCAGGAGAAGATAAGAGGCCAAGTGCAAGCCACCCGCAGAATGACCGAGAAGAAACACACGGTTTGAGTCACCCTCGGCAACATTCTCAATCGTCCATCCAATTGCGTCACGCACATCTTCTGAGCCCTGAGGGAATATGATCCCAGGAACGAGACGGTAGTCGGGAATCACGACGAGAATGCCTCTGGATGCAAAGAAAGCGCCAAGGTTGTTATGTACAAGGTTGGAGGGTGGGGAGGAGCGTGCTCCACGAACCAGTCCGCCACCATAAAAGAAGATAAGGATCGGTGGAAGCCCTTTGTCGGATTCTGGCAGCGGGGGGTAGTAAGCATCGAGCTAATATCTGTCAGCGTACTCTCCCAACAACAACGGAACACTAAACACACCTTGTGGATGTCCGAGGACCCGTACGTAAAAGTTTCGCGTCTGACAGATTCGATAGCTGAGCGGTTGGCCTCCAGTAGAGGGTAAGCTGAGCACAAGGATTGAGGAACTCTATTGTCGTAGGTCGAAGTTATCACGCACTAGGGTCAATTATCTCTTTTGTACGCGGTGGCCTTGTCGTCTTGGATGGGCTAGTGCAGGTCGTCGCAGGCGATGGATTCATATGTTGACGAGCTCAGTGCACCCACACCTGTCCTGGCAGCTCGACCGCCCCCCGAAATGGTGGAGCCACAGACCACACCATGGCAGTGGCGGTAGATAACACGTTCTGATTGGGTGAGGGTCACATGACATGGCAGTAAACAACACAAATATTGCACTATACTTCACCTGGTGCTCATAAAACTCATGAATAGCACAACAACAACTCAATGATTTTTAGTCTAATTTTTTGTGGCAACAAGATTACCCTTGGGACTGGTACCATGAAGATTTTGAGAAGAAAGAATGATGGAAAAGTTGTGAATAGTGAGGATAAAAACTGTAGGTCTGGATTCACCCATATCCTGTGCTGTCCAGCAGCAGATTCAGGGTGAAGAATTAAAGTTCCCTATCAATTTTTGTACTATCCAAAGTTATCTATGGGAATTCTGTGGCTGGCATAGATGTGAGCTAGCTGATTAGTACCCACTCAATGGATCATCAGACAAGTTCTGTATCACTTTTCATCAAACAAAGTAGACAGAGTTACATTTACACAGTACTCTCATCATGCTATCAAATTCTTGCTCATCATCTTCACCCCCTGCATCAAGCTCAATTAATTCATACAGCTAAGACCAATTCTCTCTGTCATCTCCATCCAGCTTTTGTCCTGAAAGTTGAAGAGTGAAGGGAGAGTTTCCTTCTTGAATGGAGGAGTGAAATCAACATCACCCTCATCATCTGCATCTGACCATTGGCCAAGGACATCCACAATTTCAGTGAAATATTCTGGCTCTCCACTTTCAGCACCTGAGCTGGATAAGGTTTGGTCCCCAGGATCACTGGAAGACTCCTCAGAACTATCAGTACCCAACTGGGTGTACTGGGGTTGTACAGTGGAGGGAGGAATTGCTGCAGTGGGATCAGGAAAAATTTTTCATTTATGTATGCCACAACCTGTCAATGGCCCTCCCTGATTGAGAGTATTTATCCCTAAGGTGAAGGAATAGTTGGGCTAGATTTACAAGGTTCTTGAGGCCAAGTCAATAGTGAAGGCATGTGAGAACAAGTCCAAATCTGCTGAATAGGCATTCACAAGAAGCAGAGTTGGTACAAATGGAAAATACTTGTTGTGCCAACTTCTGTAAGGGGGAAGGTTGCTGATCAGGGAGTGATACACTCTCATTCATCTGAATAGGATCAGAATATTGGTGCTAAATGCCACCAGGCATATGTCAGCCACTGTCAAACTGATAAGAATTCCTGAAGTGATACTTACATATATTGGTGATAGATATTTGAACTTGTCATAGTCACATCTTGACCCTGGCCAGACTTGGCCTTGCATTCATTCAGTCCAGCCTTGGCCTTGTCAATCACTTACCCCCAGTTAGCCTAGCATGGTTAACACTGCTTTACAGTGCATGTCACTTTGGTTAAGCTCTGCCTGGTCTTGTCCCTGGTCCACCCTGTCCTGGTCTCCATCACCTTAGTCATACCTTACTAATACTTGTCTTACCAATTGTCTTAGCAATCTTTGTGAGACTGGCATTACTGGTCTCTGTACTATAGTTACTTCCAGTATATAAACCTGTAGATACTCAGCCTGTAGCCCCTCAGTCTGAAATCAACTAAGTTCACCCTGTTAATCCTGCATTGGCCTTGGACTCAGACTGAGACCCATGCAAGGGAATAGTGCTGCATCCTCAGTTGCTAAGTCCAATCAGTCCACCCCTTTGTATCTTTGCATTTCCTCCTGATCCCAACCCTTCAGCCTTGTGCCCACTTTGGTCTCCAGTCCAGCCTCAACCCAGACATCATGAACTTGACAGTATTTCAGACTCACTACTTGTGTGGGTCTAACACATCATGGCAACAAAAACTCATTTCCAACCTCCCCATGGCCATTCTGCCACCAACCCCAACTCCACCTCCACCAGTGGAACTCACCATGAGACAGCACTAGCTGCCTTGGGCACCACTAGGCACTCTCCAGATCCCATTAGTCCTTTCAGGGGCTTTTCAGCCTAGACATTCAATACTCCTACCCCATGTTGCCCCATTGCTCTCATCCCCAGTGATGATCCTGGGGATGAAGGGCCAGATGATGATGATAACAACAATCCCAAGGATGATGACCCTGGCAATGGTCCTGGTGATGATGGGCCTGGTGATGATAACCTGGATGAAGATGATCTGGAGGACAAACCAGACTTCCCAGACCCAGACACCAAACCCACAATTATGGTCCTGGACAATCTTGCAGAGGCCATCAAACTATTGGCTCACAATGCCTGTGGTAGCCCTGAGTCCTCAAGTAGGACCAAACTGTGTGAGCCTGACACCTTTGATGGTACTGACCCCAAGAAGCTTCATGCCTTCTTCATTCAGTGCAAGCTGAATTTCCAAGACCAGCCTTGGGCTTTCAGGACTGACTGTGCAAAAGTCATCTTTGCCCAGTCCTACCTCAAGAGCATGGCTTTAGAATGGTTTGAGCTGGACTTGCTTGGGGTCGAGGACCTTGATGACTGGCCTCTCTGGATGGACTCCTGGAGGGAGTTCATCCTGGAGTTGCAAACCACCTTCAGACCTCATGACCCAGTCACTGACACTGAGAGTCAGCTCGACCATCTGGATATGAAAGATAACCAGCACATCAACAAGTACATAGTTGATTTTAAACAGCTTTCTTTGCAAGTCTGAGGCTATGGTGATGGTGTGCTGTGCCATCACTTCTACTCCAGGCTCCCAGACCAGATCAGAGATGAGGTCTGTTGGGTTGGCAAGCCCCAGACTCTTCACAAGCTCTGCTACCTCACCCAGGAAATAGATGAGCACTATTGGGAGCACAAAGAAGAAATCCAATGGGCAAGTAAGCATCAGGGCTTGTCTGCCTCCAACAACAAGTCTAGTGGTCTTGGTAATAATAGCCAGTCCAAGACTGCTCAAGACAAACCCAAGACTAGCAGCAACAGTACTAGCTCTACCCAGTCCAAAGTGGCTTCATTGAAGCCAGGCAACAATAGTAATAACCACTTGTCTAAGCCTGAGCCTAGCAAGCTTGGCAAGGACAGGACACTCACCCTGGAAGAACACAAGTGTTGCATAGACAGAAACCTCTGCATGTTCTGCAGAGGGTCTGGTCATTTCACTGACAAATGCCCCAAGAAAGCCAGTAAGGCCAAGGCTTGTGCTGTGGCCACCACTGAGGCTGCACTGGCATCAGGCTTGGGTTCTACCCCCAAGACAAAAAAATAGGTAGCAGCTCCCAGGACTCCACACAATCCAGGAGCTGTGTTGACTCCAGTTGTGCAAACTTGGAGGCTAGACTCAACATGTCCACTCTTTCCAGTCCAAACTCTTTGACCCCATATATCACTATAGAAAACCCAGAATTACCTTGGCTTTGTACTCTAGTGGACTCTGGTTCCACTCATTGTTTCATAGATAATCACTTTGCTAATCAACATTCATTTACCCCATACTTGGTCTCCCCAATCTGGCTCTGGCTCTTCAATGGAACATCCACTTTTACCATAACTCAAGCAGTAGATGTCAATATCCACTTCACATCTGGTGATGTTACCCCAGTAACCCTGTTTTTAGCCCCATTGGATTCTGAGTGTAAGATAGTCCTCAGACATGACTGGCTCACCTGCTACAATCTGTTGATTGATTGGGTACTGAGCAGTCTAACATTGTGGACTCCTGCACAAGGAATGCCAACCCCATCAACACCCCCTGTAAGCCCAGTTCCCACTGGCCTTCCTGACCCCAGTCCTAGTGACCAACCTGGCCCTGTGACATCTGTACCAGTCTCCGACTCCCTGGCTTGCACCCCCCTGAAGGCCCCTCTTGTCTCCCTAATCAATGCAGCTGCCTTCATGCACACCTGCAAACTTGAAGGGTCTGTCCAATTCCAACTTCAGCTCCACCCCTCAGACTCAGCTCAAGCCTGATCAGCCTCAGCCTCATCTTCCCCAGCCTTACCCAATGTCCTGGAGGAGTACCATGATTTTGCTGATGTCTTCAGTAAAACCAAGGCCTTGGCACTCCCACCTCACCAGGAGTATGACCTGAAAATAGAGCTTGAAGAAGAGACAACACCATCATTAGGCACCATCTGCTCACTATCCCTGGTTGAGCTGCAAGCTCTCTGGACCTTCATCAATGAAAACCTCACCACCAGATTCATTCAGCCAACTTCCTCCCCCTATGCTGCACCAGTCCTCTTTGTCAAGAAGAAGGACAGCTCCCTCTGGCTTTGTGTAGACTTCTGCAGCTTGAACAAAATAACTAAGAAGGACCACTACCCACTACCACTCATCTCCAACCTCTTAGCTTCACCAAGCCAAGCCAAGGTCTATACAAAGATTGATCTTTGGCATGCCTACCATCTTGTCCAGATTGCCCCAGGCAATGAATGGAAGACTGCCTTTCAGACTAAGTATGGATCCTACAAGTGGTTAGTAATGCCTTTTGGCCTCACCAATGCCCTGGCTGGCTTCCAATGCTTCATGAATACCATTTTCATGGATATGTTGGATGTCTGTGTGGTTGTCTACCTGGATGATATTCTAATCTACTCCAGAGATAAGGAGTCCCATAAGCAGCATGTCCAAGAAGTACTCCACTGGCTTTGGCTTCACAGCCTTTATGTGAAGCCAGAGAAATGTGAGTTCCACTCAGACTTGGTCAACTCAGTTTCCACCTTTCCCCTGCCAGCCTCACAATGTCAAAGGAAAAGGTCCAGACCATCTGTGATTGGCCCAAGCCTCACAAGGTCAAGGACATCCAATCTTTCCTTGGCCTCACAAATTTCTATCACTGGTTTATCTTTAACTACTCAGACATCATCATACAGTGGCTCAAAAAACTGACCACATGTTTGGACATTTTTCACTAAAGTCAATGCTGCCCCATATCCCCTAACCTAGGCCCTAACCTATAAGTGTATAAAACAAAGCCCTTACCATTGGCTCTCTATTGGTGCAGGGGTCAAGGGCTTTGGATAAGGTT